GGGAGGAGGGGGGTTCTTTTGTTTTCCATCACTCTTTTCAGAATTAAAAAAAAGAAGGAAATCGGCAAAAAAAAAAGAAAAGAGAAGAAAGCTTCCTGTAGCACCATCACCAGATTTTTCAAAGCCGTGATGACGAAACAAACAACCACCACAGCCTCTGACCATCTGGCCTACCTTCTTCCCCCTAGTAATACAACGTACGGTCATTATAGCGGTATCTGGGGTACCTTTCAGTCTAAATACAGCTTTAATGACCGTACGTTGCAATCTTAGGGGGGAAGAAGGTAGCTCAGTTGGTACACCTATGAACTGATGAAATACAGACGACCCTGAGTACACACTAGAACTACAGTGGAGTTCGAATCCCACTAGAACTATAGTGGAGTTCGAATCCCACTAGAACTCGATGAATGAAATCACAATGAAATCACATACTTCCAAGGATACCAGAGTGGCCCGGGACCACTTGCCCGCCAGGGCAAAACAGAAAAAAAGAAAAAAAAAGAAAAAAAGAAGTTTAAATTTCAAAAAAACATTATTTTTATGAATTTGTGTTTTCATTTTAAATTTGGTAAAGACTTCCGATGTGACCCTCTTTCTTGACGAAAACACACACACACACACACACACACAAAAAAAAAAAAAAAAAAAAAAAAAAAAAAAAAGGAAGAGGAATGAAAGAAATAATTTTGATCACCTATAGGGCCGATCAGTCCTTTCCGCTTTCTCGAAAAACACACACACACAAAAAAAAAAAAAAAGAGGAGGAGGAGGGAAAAAGAGGGTTCGGCTGATTACCTCCCTGTCGCTTTCCTCGTACTATGTAGGTATATAATTCTTAACGGACGATCAAACGGAACGGAAGGAAACGGAACGGAACGGAACGGAACGGAAGCAGATCTGATTGGCCACCTGTAAACAGAAAAAACCAAAAACAAAAAACAAAAAAAAATCATCGATGGATTATTATTATTCTAACAGTTTTTTCTTTTTCGCCTGTTTTTCTGAAAATCGAGTCGGCGAGGGTTAATGAAATTCCGCTTTTTTTTTTTTTTTTTTTTTTTTTCCCAACCGACGGGATCTACTGGCTGGGAGGGGGAATTTGATATGCGCATCTCCCCCAAGTATCCTTGGGAGATTTGATATGCGGATCTCCCCCAAGTATCCTTCTCGCTGGTGACTTCAATCTATTTGTGGGGAAAACGGCTCCATCCAATCTAATTAATTCGATGAATCGAAGTAATCGAATTAATTAATCGGCGACCTGTTTGATGGACTAGGAGAGAGATTGAAATCTATGGATCCTTGGCCTCATCAATCATGGGAGGAACAATCAATCAATCAATCAATCAATCAATCAATCAATCAATCAATCGATCAATCGATCAATCAATCAATCGATCCATCGATCCATCGATCAATCAATCAATCAATCAATCAATCAATCAATCAATCAATCAATCGATCAATGAATCAATCAATCAATCGATCAATGAATCGATCAGTCAATCGGTAAGTAAGCCGGGCAATTAACAAACATGATGATTCCATCGATCAAGCAGGTAATTCATTCAAGTTGGTTTCCGTTAATTGATTCGATTGACGAGTGAATAGATCTATGATTCCCTATCAGATTCGGGATGTGAGTCAATTGATCTATAAATAACTGCATCTATTGATCGTGATGGTTGAGTTAGTCGAGATGTGTTAAAAAAAAAAAAAACATAATTTTTTTTTGTGTTAATCGGATTTTAAATACGTTATTATGTACGTGCGACTCGCTGTGAGAGTTTTTTTTTTTTTTCTTTGTAAGATCTTCTACTTTGCGAAGCACCTACTCTCTCTCTCTGTCTCTCCCAAACATATATATAT